CATGCAGTTCACCATTTCTCGAATTGTCAATTGGCCACTCTCTGCATTGACCACTCAATCGACACCAATAAACAGCACCAGGTTCTCTAATTCCTAATAATCTACTGACATTAGCCCTGGGTGCACCAACGATCACCAGAGGATCAGAATTGCTCTCATAAATAGCAACAGCGTAACCAAAATAACTTCCTTTTCTGTAATATCCAGCATTGGGATCACTGAAGACAATTGAATTTTTCTTATCCAAATTGAACGCACGAATTTTAACACAAATTAATAAAACTACGATAACATTCACTGTCCAATGGAGCATTTTTATTCAATATTATGGGCAGATTCAGATTATTTTAGAGACACGATTATTCATTGAGATGGTAAGATCGAAATGAGCTGTACACCGGACAGAGGAAGGATGTAAGTCTTCCAGAAACCAAAGGCTTACATCATTTAACTGAGTGACTGTTTACACAGAGGAGAGAGCGTCATTAAATAAGACAAGTTGTCTCTGTCATAAAATACTATTTCCCCTCTCTTTTTTTGCGAGACCGATGACACATCGATGTGGGGAACGTCAGTGAATCATTAATATGATTTCTTCTCAAATGATATTAGATTTTATAGCGTTTTCATCGTCAACTTAAATTAATAACAAATCTGCATTCATGAATTAATTAGTCCTGATCAAGGAATTCCCTGGAGGACGACGTTTCGATCACCAGTCCTCCCTTTTTCTGCAAATAAACACAAAGATGAGTATTTATATCGTTGATTCTAGTGAGGAAATGAGTCACCATTAAAGGCATGATTAGGAATATGATAATATTGTCCTTGTGATCATCAGAGAGAGCGAGTTAACGAGACATGAATAATTCAACTGTTCCCTATTTAACAATAAATATTATTTACGTCGGCGTCTGCCTTCAATTCTTCCAATTGCTCTTTGTGCTTTCTCTTGAAGAATCCCAGTTTGATAAGAGCGAATATGAGAAGTGCCAGGAGGAGAATTCCAACGAGTACTGAGACAGCAATTACCCAACTGGCTACTGGTGCTGATACTGGGGTACCGAGGAATTGAGTGCTAACGAGGGTTGAGTTTCTCCTCAT